CATTTGGTTGCATGATGGTACTATTGTCAGCCCCACCCAAGTACACTGTTCAAAGAAATTAAAGGAACGCTTTGAAAACACATCAGATCTGAATGGGGTAAAATTTCATGCTGGATATCTATGCTGATATGGACTTGGTAATGAGTTAGGAATGTAAGGATGCCCCATTGTTTGATGGAAATGAAAATGATCAACCTACAGAGGACTGAATTCAAAGGCCCCCCTGAAAATCAAAGTAAAAACATTATGCAATAGGCTAGTCCAGTTTTCTGAAATGTCATTGTAGCAACTCAAAATGGTATTCATTGGTTTGTATGGTCCGTGCGTGCTTGTATGCATGCCTGACAACATCAGGGCATGCTCCTAATAAGACGACAGCTGGTGTCCTGGGGTATTTCCTCCCAGATCTAGACCAGGGCATCACTGAGCTCCTGGACAGTCTGAGGTGCAACCTGGCGGTGTCAGATGGACCAAAACATGATATCTCAGAGGTGTTCTATTGGATTTTCGATGATATTAACTCCTTCATCCTCCAGGAACTGCCTGCATACTCTCACCACATGAGACCGGGCATTGTCGTGCACCAGAAGGAAGCCAGGACCTACTGCACCAGCTTAGGGTCTGACAGTGGGTCCAAGGATATCATCCCAATACCTAATGGCAGTTAGGGTGCCATTATCTAGCCTGTAGAGGTCTGTGGGTCCCTCCATGGATATGCCTCCCCAGACCATCACTGACCCACCACCAAAATGGTCATGATGAATGATGTTACAGGCAGCATAACGTTCTCCACGGCTTCTCCAGACGCTTTCACATCTGTCACATGTGCTCAGGGTGAAACTGCTCTCATCTGTGAAAAGCACAGGGTGCCAGTGTTGGACCTGCCAATTCTGGTGTTCAGTGGCAAAAGCCAATTGAGCTCTATGGTGCCATGCAGTGAGCATAGGGCCCACTAGAGGATGTCGGGCCCTTAGGCCACCCTCATGAAGTCTGTTTCTGATTGTTTGGTCAGAGACATTCACACCAGTGGCCTGCTGGAGGTCATTTTGTATGGCAGTGCTCATCCTGTTCCTCCTTGCACAAAGGAGCAGATTTCGGTCCTGCTGATGGATTAAGGACCTTCTACGACCCTGACAAGCTCTCCTAGAGTAACTGCCTGTCTCCTGGAATCTCCTCTATGCTCTTGAGACTGTGCTGGGAGACACAGCAAACCTTTTGGCAATGGCACATACTGATGTGCCATCCTGGAGGAGTTGGACTGCCTGTGCAACCTCTGTAGGGCCCAGGTATCGCCTCATGCAACCAGTAGTGACACTGATCCTAGCCAAATTCAAAACTAGTGAAAAACAGTCAGAAAAGATAAGTAGGGAAAAAATGTCAGTGGCATCCACATGTAAAACCATTCCTGTTTTGGGGGTTGTCTCATTGTTGCCCATCTAGTGCACCTGTTGTTAATTTCATTAACACCAAAGCAGCTGAAACTGATTAGTAACTCCCTATGCTACTTAAGATCAATATCCCAGGAGTTTAACTGACTTGGTGCTGTACTCTGATTAAAAAGTATTTCTTTAATGTTTTTGAGCAGTGTATATCCCACCATTGACAACAAGTTTTAATAAGCCGACTAAAAATTATATTCTGACTCTGAGGGTGCTAGCAAAATTTGTTGGGGTGTGTCACTGTTTACAAACGTGTGAGTCTTTGACAAGCCAAAGAGGTAAAATGAAAGCCAGAAATCTGGTAACCCGAACAAAATGTCAGCATCTTTAGCCAAAAGCTGGCAAGTTCCTAGGTATGATCATACACTTGGCAGATGGCTGGTGTGAAGGAAGTGGCAAGCCCTACACCTCTTAGTGAGGCCAAAACAGGATCCATGCACAGTGGGCAAACCAAAAGCACCTGGCTGAGTATATGTGATGACAAATTGTAAGAAAGAAAAACTAACCACTTAAGCTGTAGTATCTGTGTCCTCTACCACTTCCAGTCCTAGTAACAATACTTTCACCAGGAAGTGAACTTTATAGAGCTCTATCAACAATTTATCTGAGATGGACATAGAATAAGTAACTGGACATTTGAAATATCTCGCCAGTAGGAAAACCTTCTCCAGTGCTAATCACATGTAACACAGTGAGTATTGGAGCACATAGTCTTTGCTGGAGAGGAGAATTGTCCAATCTGGATTCTGACTTTTTCCTTAAGCACAGATCACATGATGAGATGTATAGGCTTTTTGGATATGTGAGCAGAATGGTAGTGAACCTGGAGCTGCTTTTCTCCAGCAACAGCAAGTATTTGAGCCTTCCTATTACTCTTTGCTTATCCATTCGTGGTTCTCAGAAGTGTCATTGGTTGGGATGAGGAATTTTTTTTTTGCGAACAATTTGTTTACTTTCTTACAGCCATTTGTGTTGGGGGAAGAGGGGTAGGGGGCTGGCAAAAAAAATCACTTTCTGCTTTTCAAGGAAGGTTGCTTTACTGGAAAATTTTCAGTTTGCAGAGAATCAGAATTTTGACTGTAAAGTTTTAGTAATAGAGACTCTGACAGATGGACCAATCCCTCCGTGCTATTACACTGCGATGCGTTACTGCACACATGTTAATGCACATTTGTTTTCATGTAATATGCATAGCAATGAAACAAAAACCAGACCTGTTTTTTTATCTACTTTTTCTATTTTTTACATAGTTCACCATGGCATGTGAAGCGAGCCTAATGTTTACATCGTATGCCCACCGGCAGGGGACAAGGCTGAGCGACATGATAATGGTGCAGGTTGTTCTGAGATTCTGCAGAGCACTTTGGACCCTGTGCTTGGACAAGGTCCATTGGCACCCAAGGTGAAAAGGGCTAAAGTGGAAGGACCACCATTCTCCCCCCCCCCCCCCACCCACCACACACACTCCTGTCCCTTTTTGCGCACTCCCATCTACTGCTGAAGCATCCAAGACAACTGCCTCTTCTGCCTACTCCTCCTCTCCAGCACTGCTTGAACCTATAAATAAAAACTCCAATTCACAAATAAGTAAAACCTGTACAGACAGTATTTAGTATGAAAAGTCTTGTGTGTGTGTTTTTGTATGTGTACATTCACATTATTCCCTTCCTTCCAGGAACTTGCAATCTTAAGCTCGGCATACATGCACTGAAAATCAGTAGGTTCAGCAGGAACCTGACAAATTTCCATCCATGTGTACCCCTGTTCATTCAACAGAAGCTGATCGACCACCTTCTGTAAAATGGTCTTGCTGGAAAACCAGCATTTGTTCAGCACTTACAGCCAATGGCTGCAGCGCTGATCAGTGTATTCTGACAGGGGGGCAACCCCCGCTGTCAGAATGCAATAGCTCAGAGGGGGAGATCCTTGCATCCACATTGCTTGCGTGGATGCAAGGATCTGTGAGGTTTTTTTTTTTCAATGAGAAAAAAACTCCGTGTGTCCCTGCCAATTTAGACAGGAGACACTTACTTACCAGTATGTATTTGGAGTATGAGAATAAACCCACACAAGCACAGGGGGAACATGCAAACTGCAGATAGTGTCCTGGCTGGGACTGGAACCTAAGACCCCAAGCAGAAGTGATAAATAAAAAATCAGCAGGGACTGAGTCCCCTGTTATGACCAAGGTATGAGAAGTCAAGCATAAATATTTCAAAGGCAAAACACACATGGGTAGGGGTTAACTCTTCAGCATCAGCTACAAAAAAAGAATATCAGTTTGGGGTTGGAGTGGCCCTTTAATTAAAGCAATGCTACAAAGGTGGGGGAGGATGTAACCAGCAAAGTAATCCTGATAAGTGCAAGATGCCAACTTAATTCTGCTCCAACAGGCCAGGGAAAGGGTTAAATCACTCAATGATCCTTTTTTTGTATTCATGTCTCTCCTCCTTCCCCTGTAGGACAAGGAGGCGAGGAGGGAGGGACAAGAGTAACTAAAGATCAAAAATAAACCTCCTGGGGGGGTGGGAGGGAGCGTGTGTGTGTGTGTGTATATATACTGGGATCCTTCCCAACCAGCTCTGGTGCTTCAACTGTTTCTGGGAATAGAAGAAGAGCAAAGGGGAGATCCCACACAGACAATCACACACCTCTACTGCTGCTGCTGCTGCTCAAGGGAAGAGAACCTGTCATCCATCACTTTCCTTCATTCCACCCTGGGACACATCTGTCCGGATGACCTCTCCAAATGTCCCCATCTGATGTCGCTGCTCACACTGTCACACTTCACTTGCGTTGAGTTGACTATTCTGCAAAATAAGTTCTAGAAGATTTAGTTGGTATCGAGTAAATGATTAACACGTGTGGAACTTTTTAGAGGGAAACTGGCACATTTTCAGCTTGTGTCGAGTCCAGTTACATCATCATTTATTTATTGCATAATCCCCGTGTAATGGCATTTTTTGCTTTGCAGTTAGCTGACTGAAAAGGAGCTGCTAGACACACCTGTTCACTTATTATACCTCTTAGAAAAGTAGCACAATGGCTCTCAGACACCTCTGGGGCTCCTGGATGGTGCTTTGGTTAATGGGTACCCAAGCTTTGCCTAGGGGAGAGGTGACGGTGCCAGAATTATCTTCAGGTGCGGATGGGATGGTGACACTGAGGCTGGCTGCTCTAGGTGGAGTGATGGCATTCCAGCTGTTCCCTGACCATGCTTTCCTGGCACCAGGGGTCCATATCACACATGTGGGCAGGGACAATGCTGATGAGGAGGGTTCGGCTGAACTGAGAAACTGTTTTTACTCCAGCCAGGAACAAATGGCAGCTTTTAGCCTATGCAGAGGGGTTCAGGGGGTTTTCCATAGAGGTGAAGACAGGTACGCGGTTAAGCCTTTGCAGACGCTGGGAGGATGGGGGGCTTTAGGTCAGCACATTGTATTCAAAGTGGGCAAGGCTCAGGATTTGGGCAGCAGGGCTGGAGAGAACAAACAAGAAATGATCAGCCAAACCAGGGAAGAAAAAGACTATAACAGAGGACATGGGGAAGATACTGCAGGGATGCTGGGGGAGAACAGGAAGAAAAAAGATGTAAAATGGGGCAGACCTGGCTCTTTGTCCACTGACTGGAGAAACTCCCTTCAAGAGGAGAAGAAACATCAGGTTCTCGTCAGGACCATCTCTGAAAGACCCATTAGCCATGCTGGCACCATCCCCCGAAACCGCCAGAGGAGGTTTGTGTCATCTGAGCGTTTCGTGGAAGTTCTTCTTGTGGCAGACACATCAATGGTTCGGTTTTACGGGGAAGACTTAAAGGTAACATGTAAAATTTGTTATGCCTCACTACTTTTATGTGACTCTCTTTCTGGATGCTTTCTGTGGTTTACAAACCTTATAAGAGTTCAGAGATTGTTGTGTGTTAAACATGACAGTGATCTTCTCTTATTTGCCCCCTTTTAATCTGTAAAAAACACCATTAAAGCATTTGGTTTTATCTGTTCCAAAATTGCAAAAAACAATAACACTTATTGATCCTGCTGTAAATCTTGTGAACCGATAACTTCCTGTGCTCTCTGTTGTACTTATATCAGACATATTGTTCCTAGCTATCTCTGAGGACTAAAGAAACCCTCCCCCCTTATTTTATGGAGAAGAGGAGAGAAGGAGGCATTCTGTAGCACTGTCCTAGAGTGACAATGCTACTTCTCTATAGACAGAATATGGTAAGCAAGCGTTGTCACCCTAAGACAGGAAATGTGTTACAGGTGGGCTTACCAGGTGAAAAAAAAAGTTACAAATAAAAAAGAAAACTAATGCAGCCACCTCATCTAATGACTGGTAAGCTGCAATATGTAACATTTTTGTTCTTGGGGTTCGATACACTAAAATAAAACTCTTGACTTGAGACTCATGGTAAGACAACAGTCAGTCACGTAGAGAAGGTCCCCAGCAGAGAACAGCACTGCCAAATACACACTCAGCATGTTGTATGAGCACTCAGCTCTGCAGGTGAATGAAGGCTTATTATTGTATATGGGGATGAAAAAGATCATATATTGTCTAGAGTCCAACAGATTCCTTGTTTTATTTTTCTGCTTGTGGTAAAATTCTAATCTCACTCTGCAGCAGTTTTGCTTCCACCCTCATTTTGCACATTCTAAAATTCAGCAAAAGGTTTGCAGACCTGAAAACTCGGCTTCTCAATTTTGGTAAATTGACCAAGAGGGGAGGGAATATCTGAAACAGGGATACAGACAGCAGCAAAAATAACTGTCAGACGTTCTAGCCTTCCGTTACCCCAGCGTTTTTGTTTCTGTCTGTGTTGCTGGTCTAATCCCTCCCCTCTCTATCCAAAACTAAAGAGAAAGGTTTTGGCTAGACTTACACTTTAAGGAACCAGAGATAACTAGAACAGATACCTTGTTGGCTGCTTTGGGCTAATGAACATTTTTATAGGATAATTTGTGGAGCGTTTGGTTTAAACATCCAAGCAAGGTACATTTCTGTAGACAACTAAAACTAAAAATGCAGAGAAAATGATTAGTCTCAGGTTGTACATGATGGCTGCAAGTCCCATATCTGCAGGCAGAGAGTTCAATGTAATGGAAACAAAAGTGATTATTTTAAAATACAGAGGGAATAAAAGTGTTTATTCCCCATAGCAGCAATCTGTTGTTATTTTTTGTGAAGTGAGTTGAAAATATGACATCTACAATCTAACTGGATGCTGCAGACAACATTGGTGTTTTACTATTCTCTATAGGGACAGGGATAGCACAGTCCAAGTAATCTGGAGGCAGCTTTGTAAAGTGTTCTGCTGTCTAATGCAGAGTAGCGAGGCTGCTCCCAGATTGATCCCATTCCTAGAAACATGAACAACCGGTACTATAAAGATGACACATTGGGGGTTATGCACTAAAACTGGAGAGTGCAAAATCTGGTGCAACTCTGTGTAGAAACCAATCAGCTTCCAGGTTCTATTGCCAATGCTTTATTGAAGAAGCTGAAGTTACAAGCTGATTGGCTGCCATACACAGCTGCACCAGATGCTGAGTGCACTAGTTTTAGTCAACCTCCCGCATTGCGCTGATACATGAAAAATGGGGAGATAAAAATGAAATACATAATTGGAATTGCTGCCACCAGCAGCCAATCAGGCTTTACTGTTCCCTTTATTTTAGAAAAATGAAACAAATATCTGATGGCTCTGTGTAGCAACTCCATCTTTGAGGTTGTCTTCTTTCCTCCAGTCTTCATAAGTTGGATGTATAGATCGACAGACACAACACACACCCACTGATAAGAATCCCATGTAATATATACAGTTTATCAAGGGAGGACTAAGCTGTGGGGGGGGGGGGGATTTATTTCTCTGGGACAGTACCTGTTGAGATATGTTGGGCTGGTGTTCTTCACTATTCAGACTTTGATATGAGCAAGATCTGCAGTGAGTGAACCTTGGTGAGCATTATGTAGCTACCTGTTCTGTTATAATTACAGCATGTAGCAGAGAAAGTCTTCCAGCACCAAGTTATCAGCACTGAGATTTCATGTAAACCAAAACTCAGAAGAGGCAGATACTAGAAGATATGAAAAGGTGCATCTCAATAAACTATGTCCTTTACAAATACATTTTGCAAGTTACATGTTCTTTAGCCCATCATGAAAGGGCCTCTTGGTTGTGTTTGGTCCCCAGGTCACCAAAGTTTTCCCATCATTCCCTAATGTATGTGTACACTGCTTTTTACATACAGTATGTACTAACATTATGGCCAATGAATGACTGTGTTTTACTGCTGTGGAGGTGGATGGCTACTACTTATCAAGTTGTACCTGAACCTCAACTGTCCATAAAGACTGAAACCTCTTGGATAGAAAGCCTGCTAAATGTCTCCATCTGGAAATAGGTACCTCTTACTAGAACCAGAGGCTTCTCACCAATAATATCGTACATTAAAAGACATGGGCTGTATATCTCCCACTCATTGACCTCGTTCTCTGCAAGGTGCCAGTTGGCCAACTCACACTTTAAAGATTTAACTTCTCTAAAGCAGCCTTTCTCAAGTGGGGTTCCTCCACAGATTGCTAGGGATTCCTTGAGCAATGAGCAATTTTTGCCTCTCAGATCAATAATGACCAACACCAAGTATCTTTTTAGCTAGCTGTAATCTATACATACTGAGTGCCAAAGTAAGTGCCATTCTTCCCACTGATCACCAGTGTTTTGAGCCCTTCAGACAGCAATGTAAGAGAGTCTTTCTCCCACTGATCACCAACTTAAGAGGGGCCCTTCTCCACTGACCCCCCAGTGTAGAAGATTTCACTGACCACATTTGTAAGGGGCACTATAATGACCGTCAATGTTAAGGGGTATTTCTCTCCTTACAACCAATGTGAGCAAACACTATCATTTTCAATGTCTGTGGGGTCTTTTCTTGTTTTTTTTTTATGATTTGTTTCTTTTAATTACGGAAAATAATTTTGTTCTATAGATCAGAACTGAGCATAAGAAATTCTAAGTATGCCACATTTATTATCTTTTTACGTATCCTTATATCTACTACCTACTGTTAACGATAATATCTAATGAGCTGTATAAATAATAATTATGAGAAGAGGTTCCCTGAGACCTGTAAATTATTCTAAAGGTCCCTCATGGTTAAAGTTGAGAAAGGCTATGCTAAAGTTTAGCTTGTTTCATCCTCCAGAGGGCAAATGCATTTGTTTGATGTTGTAAGCAGAATGTACAGTATATCTCTGAATTATACTGTTGCCTGTACTCTGACCTGATGAGCAGCTTTGTGCCAACCGGCATCTTCCTATGTCTTCTGGCTGCAGAAAAATCTATAGGGAAGGAGTTCCGACACCTGTAACACATTGTGCAGCAGCCTGACAGTGAGGGAAACATTAGCGCTTGTTACTCCCTCAGGCTTGCCAGGGCTTGTGCTGTTTTCATTTCTTGTGGTTAGAGCAGATAGTCTGTGGTTGCTGATGCATCTCAAATGGCAGTTAGGAAGGAAACGATACTTCCTTATTTTTACAGAAGGCTAGTCTCTTACCATATGAGCAATGTGGGTGCGCCTATGTGCATCCCTGCCTCTGTCCTGCCTATGTTGACAAAGTTAATCAATAAGAAAAAAGATTGCTGCCATACACATCATGTTTTATTCAATTTTTAAATCCTATACTTTAAAAGTTCAATACAGTCTAATGTTACCTTTTTGTTTTATTGGCCACACACCTATTGTTTTCCACAATTCAATCAATTTTTTATTGGAATACCAAGGAACAAAAACAATTAATGAAAACCTATTCAATAACATTGCATCAAAAATTACAAAGAGAAAGGTTGAAATAAAGATATAAACAATCTAATATACAACCACAGGCTTTCAAACCTAAAATGATCAGAGCTCTCCCTGAGCTGTCTGACTTTATCAACCCTTAAAAACACTGATTTATAACTGTGATAAAGATCCCTACAATTATTGATTTTACTTTGATATGTTTGGAATATTATCTTATAGGATTGCGAATGAAAATCATTACAGATTTGACTAATGATTGTAACATTTGACAGACATAATGAATGAAAGGGGTGGGCAAGGAACAGCCAAGCTTTGGAGGAAAGTCCTACATGATGCTGGACGTCCTCCAGCCAGGAAATTAGGAGGGCTCTATCAGACTTGCTGCTCACAGTGTGCAGTGAAATCAGAGTAAGCAATTTCAAGTACAGGAGAGGAGCCGGTACAACTGTGCAAAACTGAAAGGAAGGCTGGAGTTCATATTTAAGGTTAAGCTTGTAAAATAATGTGTCAGAATAACACTTCCAGATATATTTTTACCTCTCAAATGTCAGAAATATATTCAAATTTGTAAAGTGACAGGTTCACTTTAATGTAACCAAGGACAGTGGTGCCTGCCTCCTCTAGATCTGAAGCTTGTGAGGCTGTATGTTAGCTAAGACATGGTGTTGTGATGGACTACGGGTCCATTATCAGGGAGAGGAGTCAGTTTTGTTTCCCAAAATGTTATTTTTACTAAGACAGTATGTTAAAGTGTTACTAAACCCACAATAGTAAAATCAGTCTGTATATGCAGTAAATCATGCTTGTTATACTCACTGTGGAACCTAAGGGGTTAATCCTCTACATTGTGTAAAAAGGCTGTTTGATCCTGACTTTTATGATTCTCCCCTTCTTCCAGTGTCCCCCTCTTATCTCCTGATTAAATATATCGTGTGGAATCAGTCCACACATGCTCAGTGTGATGTGTATTGCTAGAGAGGTTTTTTTTTTCTTGGGAAAGTGCATGTG